TATAATGCTTTATTTACAAATGCGAGTCTTCAGGATTGATGAAGACTTGGGGAGCTTGTTCATCTCATAGACTTGAGCCTTATTTTGTGCTTGTTCACCACGCATGTTGTACTTTGCTACTGTTTCCGTGGAAGCATGATGCCAATCTCGCTTCCATGTGCTTTGGAAAACAAGAACACGGAGAAGCATCCACAACCACAATTGCAATCACACATCAGCCACAGTATCAGCCATGATCAGAGATGATGAGTGCAGAAAGTGACAGTGAGGGAGAGACAACACCACAAAATCCCTTACCTAAGGGGCTTCACCAGACGGGATGGTCTTGAGTCCCATCCGAGTGAGTGAGAGTGGATCAGGTTCGGCACCCCCCGTCCGTCGTTCTTACGTGACAACACCCCGTCGTGCGCCGTGAAGCGCCGACCAGGCCTGGAGTTCCAAGTGGTGACCAAGTATACCTCCCTCCTGGCCATCAGCTCGACCTCGGACGTCTTGGAATCTCTTCCGGATCACCATCACTCCGGGTGGGGAACGAAGCGAAGCGTGACGAACGAAGCGAAGCGAAGCGAAGCAACATGTTCGGCTCCGAAGGGGGCAGTGGGGTCTTCCGATCTCACGCTAGGCAGGTAGGCAGGTAGGAAGGCTGATGTAGTGACAGAGAACGTCTGTAGTTCTTGAGAGAGAGATTCATAAATGATATGAGAGATGGCGACAAACAAAAGATTGTCCTTGGCGATGCAGGGCAAAAAAAAGCAATGACTGCGCGCGATATGGAAGGGATCCTTTTTCTCAGGTTGTGTTTGATTGTTTCGGTCATTGCTTTGTGCACGCAACATCTTCTGGGCTAAGGAGTTGCCAACATGCTCAGTGTCTGCAAATCGACAACTGCCGCAGCGCCCAAGAATGGGCTCTTCTTTGTCAGGACGGCAGCGCTAAGACCGTGGAGGATCACAGTGGTGGTGGAAACAGGATGACATAGGCCCTCTCCTCACTCAAAGTGTATTTGATTGCGTGGATGGTGATTACGTAGCTGCAACGAGGATGGATATTCCTTTCTTCAGAACCCACCCTCCTCAATATCAATCCCCAAGGTTCTTTTATAGAAGTCACGTTGACATGACCGTCGGAGCTCCTAGCTGTGGGCTGAAATGTTCTATTAAGCCAAGTGCAGGGAACATGTCTTTCTGGTAGCCCGGGAGCCCTTCGGATTTCCTGAGGGTTGTGTCTTCAACTAAACCTCCCAACCGTTTTTGTGGCCCTTACTGTTTCATTCCTACCTGTTTCTTTTCTCGTCACTTCGTAGTGTTCAGTCAGGTCCTCAGAATGTGGGCATTTGAGGCACGCACCCATGCGCACGTGCCTACTAGTGCAACGCCGTTGGGAGATCCAGTTCTTGACGGGCCTTCGGGCGACGAGTCCTCCAGTGAGGAGAAGGGAAGGGGACCTCCGCCATTCCGCCAGGAGGAGGCTGCATCTCCGTGAAGGACTTGGGCCCCCTGATGCGTTCCCTTGGCCAGAACCCCACTGAGGCAGAGCTGCAGGACCGTTTTTGCACGAGGGCGAGGGAAGAGAATTCGGGGCGGAGGGTGAGGTCTTCAGACCGAGGTGGTGAGAGTGCGGCGGTCGTCTCCTTTGCGTAGGCCAGGTCTATGGCCAGGCCCAAAGGTCTATGGTTGAAATTGAGGGGAGAAGAGGGATTTTCAGGATGAATCAGATCCCTTGCTGGACATTGACACTTTAAAACTGCCTCGGCCAGCAGGTATGCACATGTCAGCATGGTCCAATCGTGTCAGGAACCGACATTGGTCGAGTCATTGGCTCCCGCATTTGTGTTGGATTTTCACTAAAAGAGCAGATGTGTGATGTGTATGCAGCAGATGATGGGATAGGACATGATGTGGACTCATGTTTTGAACATCTGACATAACACAGATCAGAAAGGAACGGCGTGCAGGCGTGCATCAGCAACTGCGGCTGAATTATGATTTGTTGGTATAGTCACCCTTTCTGGGGACCGTTGACCATCATCCACCAGTTAGTGACGCTAGTGATTGATCAATGTTGATAAATGTTCCAAGTGATTACAGGGGTCAATGCAGCTCGGCTTTTCAGCTGATTTCACACGTTGCACCATGTCACCAAGCTGTGCTGTGTGCGAGAAAGCGGGCGACAAGATGAAACTATGCGGCCAGTGCAAAGATCGCTGCTACTGCAGTCCTGAATGCCAGCGCTTAGATTGGAAGACCCATAAGACATGGTGCCAAAAGAACGCGGGCAAAATAGATCAACGAGTGAATCAAACACTCAAGGTTGTTGGGAAGGGCATTGATCCAGCTGAGCTCTTTGCAGAACATCCTTGTTGCAAATACGTGGCGGTGATCGATGGGAAAGGTGCTGGCGTGATAGCATCAGACTTCATTCCAGCAGGCGAGATCATTGTGCGAGACCAGCACATCTTGTGCATCACTGGAGATGAGCTTGGCTTGTCGGATATTTGGTCCGAGTCTAACAAGCCTCCGGCCAAATTTGATCGACAACATGAGCTGATCAAAGAAAAGTTTGAGCGGCTTTCAGAATCCGATCAAGCCAAGGTGAGGTCAAAATGTACAGTCCTTGACACAATCATGGAAGTCAACAATTGGCTCCTGGAAACCAATCATTTTTCTGCAAACAGCAGGTCTGCCACTTCCATGTTAATGACTCGGAGGAGTATCTCACTGAAGAACAACCATCGTGCTACTACAGGGATCGAGAGGTTTTATGTTTAAACCCCTAAACCTTGTGATCAAGATAGTTCATCCAGCACAAGGCAGTAGAAACACATAGAAACACTTTGGCGCCCCATCAGGTGCTTTCGCTTGAAGACATGCAGACAAACAACAAGCTCACACGCGCTATTGTCGACAGACTCTTCAAGGAGGGTGCAATCAAATCATCCTGGGAAAAGCTCTATACACTCACTTCAGTGCCCTCCGCACATGTTTCAGAAGTACAAGATGCTGGGTATAAGAGCCCGGAAGGAGTTTTCAAGACAAACAGCCTGCCAGTGGGAGATTCCAATTCTGTGGGCTTGTTTCCCCTCATCAGCAGATTCAACCATAGCTGCTGCCCCAATGCATCGTACCGGTGGAATCATGATGTGCAGAGCCAAGTGGTTCAGGCGATGAGAGATATCCAAGCTGGTGAGGAAATTTGTGTGACCTACTTTCATGCAAACTTCATGACTTCAGACACCCGGCAGAAGCGCACCATGATGGGATGGGGGTTCAAGTGTCAATGCGAGGCATGTGAATGCCCTGGACTGCAAGAGGTAAGAGAACTGGTGCGATCCATGGATGATGGCAACATGACAGACGATGATATGACAGCACTGATTGGAGCAGAGAAAATGGCATTGATTGAGAAGAGCATTGCAACCAATGAGCGCAGGCAGCGGCTTGCGGCACTCAACACCCGGTTAAACACAGCATCATCCTTACGAATGGTGAAGCAAATCGTGGAAGAGATGGAGGGCTTGTATTGCAAGGAGAAGATTTTACCGCATTTGCTGGTAGAGTCACAAATTGCTTTGGACCTCATACAGGCACATGTCGGTTTCGGCGGACCGGAGGTTGCAAAGTGGTGTCAGGCGTTGTATGACAAGGAGCGGTTGCTGGAGGGCGAGACGCATCCAAAGACCAGGAAGGTCAAGCAATGGTTGTCCCGCACTCCTTCGGTTATGGAAGTGGTGAACTATGCCAACGGAAATTGGTAGATTGGAACGGCGACGAAGCGGTAGGTTGTGGAATACCGGGAAGACCGGCAGGTGAGCGGAGTCGAAGGGCGAAAGGGCTGAAGGGGAGCTCGGAGTCGAAGGCCTTGGGTGTGTATCTTAAGAGGGAAGACAACAAGTCTGACACCAAACCAAGTGTCGGTAGGTAGACTGGTTGATGTTCCCGAACCGAACCCAGGGGGTCTACATGTTAGACTGGTGTTTCTTCGATGTTCACGTGAAAGTAACTGGAAAGTAAAGGAAAGTCACTTCCAAAGGGACCATTTTCATGTGAAAACCAACCTGGGCTGCCATCTATATAACTCTTCAGGAGATTAAGGAGTTTTTTGTTTCCATGTGTTTACACTAAACAATTTAGAATTTGGAATGCCTTGGGTAGTTGATGAGGATTTAAATCAAGCCAGGCGCCTTGGGCGCATGGTAAACCTATGCACATGGTACACGACCAGAATCTTCTTTGCTGTGCCAGTTCAAGCTGTGTTTGATGAAGTGGACATGCCCAGGTGCACCGGAACCCACAAATGACAAACATATCAGGTAATTAGGTAAATTGTTGTGTGCGGCCGCTGGTTGTTCTTGTTATCACCGAAACACATGGAGATGCCATGGATCCTTTTGTGAGATACCATGGAGCGCCAAAAACGGGGCCCTGAGCTGCACTTGACGGAACTGCAAAAAGCTGATGCTCGCGGGCTTGCGTTACTTCAAGAGCCCGGGCTGCACTTGTTCAGTTCATTTTGGTTGATTACTGTACGTTTTCAGTTGACAGATACTGATTAGTTTTCGGAGAATCATGTGCAGAGTTCAGATGCTTGACATCATGTGCAGGAGTCGCTGTGCGCGGCGGGGGGGGGGTAGGACGTCGAAAAATCTATTCTCCAATGTTGAGATGTTCACCGACCACCACCACCACTCGGGTCGGTTCTTAGTTGTATGGGGGTCGCTTCCCCATGTGTCCATGTGTCGCGTTTCGTTTTTGTTCAGCCGTATGCGTTGTGAAGTCCATGGTGTTCACTGGGTGAACCAGGGGGGGCCCAATTACCACCAAGCCAGAGGCCAGAGGTCTACAGGTCGTCACCTGAAACCTGGAAGTTGACAACAATCATGAACAATGAGAGGTTCCTGGGACTTGAAAGTGAGCTGGGGAGTTGTATCGGAGATTTTTTGAGACAAAAGCTGTTCAAAGCTGAAGAAGACCAATCTGCTTTCACGATCTTTCACGAACCTCCCCAGGATGACCGTGATCATTATCATTAATTGTATTATGGAGCTTTTGTGGGCAGGATAGTGTGAAGACCCCTCCACATAAACACACATGTGGCGAAGCCTAGAGGGCTAGAGTTGCCCAGGGCTGCGAGTTAGTTCTTCCACCGTCATGGATGACTACTGAGCGCATCTTCGCAAATCAAAAAAGAAGATCCCAATTGAATTGCCCTTGTTTGGTCGTGTTTGGTTTTGTTGGGGGGGTGAACGACATGACATGACGTTCAATCCCCTGACCTTCGAAGATGTGCCACTCATCAGACAAGCTGTCCAGCCCAATGCTGTCAGATCCAACCGATTCACAAGTCTGAGCGGCAAAAAAAAAAGAACAAATGTATACAAATGTAGATTGTTTTCCGCTCAGGGGATCCCTAACACGTTTGTCCTTATGATGTGTGTTTCATTTGTTTATCCTTCTAAAATGTCCCCCATCGATTGCACAGAGTGACAGCATCAGGAAGAAGGACAGGTAGCACATGGGACAGGTAGCACCGGCGATTTCTAGGTGGAATCTCTGGCCAAAACGAGTTGGTTCCAAACCCTCAGGAGCTGATGGACGTTTTGCAACGCCGTGATCTCGCAGTCTCCGATCGAGAAAGGCGTGAACCGGGCGACGTTGGACGGCGCCCGGCACCCGACCGAGCGCAGCTTGGGGGGGACCCAGAGTGCACGGAGCATTGCCTAGACGGGCCCCAGTGATTGGGGCACCCACAGTGGAACACCTTTCTTTTTTTTGGGAGGGGGAATTGAGTTTCCCACTCAAAAACGGTCACTAGGTCACTGTCATGTTAACGATAGTTTCCAGGGAAGTTCATGGAGTCAGAATTGGATCATCCACCGGACACACTAAACCTCTCCATAGCTCCCCCACCTTGTACTCGATCGTCTGTAAGCAGCTGGGCCAGGTATCGCATGGCGGCAGAGGATGTGGAGCCCATCTTCCAAGTCCTCCACGAACTGCTCGAGACCTGTGAGGCTTCTGCTGCCCAGCTACACAGCGCAGCGCGCGCGGCCGCAGCGGACGGTCCGGCGGATGCGGAGATTTGGGAGCTCTTTCGGGTGGCAGACCGCGCGGAAGACGATGTTCAGCTGAAGCCTGGAGAAACGGCTGATTCTTTTTTGTTTCGTTTGAAGAAGAGGTTGATCTTTTATGTGTTTTTGTGAGTGTTTGTGAGTTTGTGCGTACGTTTCGGTGCTTCCCCCAAGGAAGAGGCAACTGGTGGAGAGTTTATCGCATGCTTCCAATGTGGAGCAGGTGATGGCCGTTCAGGTGATGTGGAGTTGCAAACCCTACTTGGAGCCGAGCGACGAGCCCAGCGAAAGATTGTCCGCTGAGCGATGAGCGAGGGATGAGAGGCAATTCAGATTCTTTCGGTGAGTGCTGTGGGTTTGTGGACTATGGACCGTCAGTTTACAGAATGCACTTGTGGTGGGTTGGATAGATTCCATTGATGTCCAATTGGAATGTCCATGGGGGGATGCGTGTCCCAGAACGTGTCCCAGAACCTTGCAAACAATTAACCAGCTATAGGAATCATTGAGTCGGGAGTCGGTAACTGCCAAGTCCAATGACAGGACATGGTGAACGAAATCGATTGCGATGGAAATGGGACCATGGATTTCTCCGAGTTTCTCACCATGTGCCTCGCCCGAGCCGTGTTCCCGAGCGCCAGTCAGTTGCATGTTGCAAGCCAGTTGCATATGGACTAGCTGCACTTACACTGTTCCTTCATCCTCCTCGAAGTTTTCACTACAAAATCAGACACCCCAACCTTCTACCGAACTCACAGGCATGTTTCTTTTGGAGATGACTGCATTGGACGCCATTTTGTTGAGGCAGTACTGGGAAAAGTGGGGAGTGTGAATGAACGCAGCCTGGAGTCCTTGCGAGGCAAGCACGAAAGATGCGAGACACGGACTGCGAGGAGCACGGATGCGGAGACCACACAGAATCAGCACATCAGCGGGGCCAACAGAGGCAACAGCCAAACACGTGTCCGGTGATGGTGGTTTCATGTGGTTTCAGATGTTTGATGTTCAACCTACAAGATGATTGAACCCACTATGCTTTTCGTTTGTAGGTTGAAAGCACGTTTCAGAGTTCAGCAGTCGGTTCCTGATGAATCGTCATCCTTCACCCTTAGAAGGGTCCGAGCTGAATTTCGTTAGATGAATCTTCAAAGTGTGTGCGCCATTGTGTGGATCGCGGTGGTATGCCGCAATTTGAGTTTCATAGGGTTTCATAGGCAACACATGCCAGGTGTGTGAAGAAGCATTGATCACGTTGTTCATCTCTATATGTTTAATGGGCGTCCGTTTGTGATGTCCAATGTCATTCCTCCCAATACTGCTGAGAGAATCGATAGCAACGACATCAATTGACATAACTCATAGAATAGAAAGTGCATGTTTTCTCTCCCTGTACCGAGTGGTGGAGAACACGTAGGTCAAACCTCAAAGGTGTGAACAGCTACCACAGAAGGCTGCACCGCATGCAGAGGCACTAAGAAGGTGTGAGTTGCGGTTGGGACGGCAGTTGCATGTCAAACACAGAGCACAGCCAGCAGCAGCAGCAGCAGCACCACCACCACCCACCGTGATTCCTAACAAAGAATGCATTTGCTGTGAACCTTAGCTCTTCAAACCCTAGCCCCTAAAAGCCCCTGAGTTTCAAAGCCATTGCTTTGGACCTTCGGACAGGTCTTAATTTGGAACTACATCATTGTGTGTTCTCTTTGGATTACAACAGCTCCCCTACAAGTAAGCCACCTGTTTGTTGGAAGGTCCTAGTAATTTGGATGTATTTGGTTTGTTGGGGCTTGACTTTGCCAACTGCATCACTATACCTGTTGGATGCTGGATAGACTTGATAGACGTTTGGGTGCAGTGTTTGTACAATTGGATGCTGTCATGTTGTTTGACTTTGCGCATTTAATTTCAAGGCGGTGTGCCTTCGTGCGATTATAGAGATTTTACGAGATTTTGCATGTTCTAGAACCAATTCCTTGCAAATCCTTTGCATATCAAAAGCATTCAAAAGCCAAACCCTTTGTCACGTCGTTTTCACCTCTTCTTTTACAACTCAACAACTCCTAGAACCCACTAAGTATCCTATATATTGTCCTGACATGTCCTGACCCAGGGCAACGGGATCATCTCCGCTGCAGAGCTTCGACACGTCATGACAAACTTAGGCGCACGGCGCGCACACAGCGCGCGCGCGCGCGGATCGAGAAACAATCCGCCACCTTGAACGGGTTTCATGTTCTGCCGGGGTTGACACCTGCTTGAACCTTGCAGAGACTGATGCGGGAACGATTCCAAATTTGTCCTGTCCTTCAAAAAACAGAGCCGAGTTCGGTCAGTCCCTAAAATTCTACAGGTCGCAACCCTGTCAGGACGGTGGTGGGTTGGTGCTTTCATTAATTTTCCTGGGAGATGTCTCTTTTCACCGCGAATCGAAGATGTTGTGCTTCCCGCAGTTTTTCCAGCCCGCTCCGCCCCGTAGACCACCGGGGCGCGCTTCACCGCCGGAGTCGGTGTAGATTTTTGGGCCACAAATAAGAAGAGCATCGTCGAGAGCATGGCGCCCATCGAAGTGAAAGAGGCCGCGAAGAGGGCAACGCCCAAGCTGGCTGATGGACTCTTTGTGTTGGAGGCCTTCTTAGAAGCTGGTCTTCCATATTGTGACCACCTGGAAATGTTGGGGTTCAAGTGCGTTTGTTATGAATAGGCCAGGTTCCTATGGCTACCCTCTTAAAAATGTAATTGAGGTGGGGGGTGGGGTATGTAGTTACAATTTTCAAATACATTTAGTTTTTTTTTTTTCGCAGCTGCGGTCCGTCCCATATTTTGGTCCGTCCCACACTTCGGTCATGTTTTTCGCAGCCATTTGGTTGGATCATTGGGCCACGGGCGATGGAAGCTTATGTCTGGACCTTAGACATGTATGGAAGTGTATGGACGTTTTTTTTTTAAATGGGAGGAGCGGATTTATGGGACACGACGATTCAATGCACCTGCAGCTGGGGCTCAGTGGAAAATATATGTCTATGCGTCTATGCTCTTTTATAGGAAAATATACCTTTACCATCCTTCACCATCCTTCACGTACTATTTATCATCATTGAGTGTTTATATTCTTTATCATCCTTTATCTACTACTTATACTATGTATCATCATCCTTTACCTACTTGACACCAGACAGAACAGAAAGCATCACATTATCTCACATCATGTCATATCACTTCAGGTCACATCAGCCTTTCAGCAACATGCAATATCATGCAACCACATTACAATCACTCAGACATATTCAACAAAGCACCAGCCCCAAAGACGTGTCATATATGTTTGCCATTTTGCAAAACGTGGTATCCCTCACTTTGGTCTGTCCCCTCACTATCCCTCACTTTGGTCCGTCCCCTCACTATCCCTCACTTTGGTCCGTCCGTGGTCCGTCCCTTGCTTTGCCCATGTCGTGCCCGCGGTGTGGGCGGTGGTGCAGGGCAAGGGACTTCTGGCGCCGCCACGTTGAGGAGCACCGCTTCCATGACGGGTGCCTCGCGACGGTCCTTCGCTTCTCAGCATACTTCTGTCCTTATTTGTCTTGTTTCTTACATGTGGGTGCTGTGTGATATAGTATGGCTGAGTTTTGGTGTCATTGCATCTGGACCCACAAGAGGATTAGAGGATTCCCACTTGCTTCATGTTTGGTCTTGATGGTTCATGATGGTTCTTGTGCTAAGGAGCAGGCAGCCAGTTGTGGGACCACATCAGGGAGCAGCATGATGAAGATGTTCTAGCGTCATGGAATGGGTCCCTTGGTCTGAGATGGTCTGAGACTGGCAC